TTTTGGGGGTCATTTTTCAGAGGCCAGAAGATCTTTCTCTTACAAAAGAAGACTATTAGAATAATAATGGGGATGAAACATAGAGTTATGTAGGCCAGCATTTATAAAGTTAAATATATTAACCCTGGTCTCTCAATGTATTTTATCTTTGATGACTTTTATGATAAATAACTTGGAGTATTTTACTTTTAATTATTCAATTTATGAGAGACCAACAAGACATGAAAGAAATTTACATGTCCTACAATCACATCTTGCAATGAGGCAGAAAGGGGTCCATTGCATGAGTATAAAAATATTTAACAGTCTGCCTGATTATTTAACTGATTTAGTACATGATAAAAAACAGTTTATAAAAGAAATAAGGGATGTCCTAATACATAATCCGTCATATACTGTTGATGAATTTTTGCTCTTCTGTCGGGATCAACCGCTAAGGAATAAGATGGGGAGTGCATGCTGACTGATGGATGTCCCACAATAGGCATCAATATAGACATTAAGTGTAAATATAATCTGTATTTTAAGTATTTATTTAGATGCACGTTGTTTGCATTTATGTTTGTTTGTTATTGTGATATGGCATGTTGGAATTGTAAAGATGTATTGTTGTTTGTAAAGCTTGTGACATGTTTCATACTCAGTGCATATTGCACTTATGAATATCTTGAAATGCAGATGTATGTATGTATGTATGTATGTATGTATCCTATTTTATTTTTGTGACAAATTATTTAACTATTCTTAAAAAAATTTGGGAATAAAGCATTCTCTCGTATCAGTCTACTTGTAGGTGATGACTTGTCAGACAGTACTGTGAAACAAAACTCTGACATAAGTTTCATTCACAAAAATTTTCATTTTCCCTTCTTCTCTTGTTTGAAGTTCAAGAAAACTATTCCAGAATCATTCGCTTCTAATTGCATCCAAACATTTTTATAAGCTTACAGACAGGAAATGGAAATGCATTTTTTTTTACAGTCTTTCCCTAACATTTACTAAAGATTAAATATTGATTAATATATCCACTGTACTGGTATTTTTTTCGGATTACCACCAATTACAATTATTCATAGTGTTATCTTACTAAAAACATGATATATGCTGAGAACGCTTTAAGTATAATGAGTTTCCCGGAGAATTGGTTTGCAAAGTAAATGAAAATTTTTGGGGTTCAAAATAAACATCAGTTCATGCTTTAATAGTCTATCACCTAGCTCCAACTATCTCTTCATTCATCCGGCCATCCTTCCAGCTGTCGTGTAATGGAATCAAGAGCACCAAGTGACCGACTTTAATGAAACTCAGTATAAAGTTTCATTAATTTTAATAGCCTACTATACATTTTTATATCCAGAAAGTTTCACTCAGAGAAGGCCCCAAATTTATAATTATAAATCACACAATAATTTACCAATGAAAACGAAACCTGGCAAGAAAATATCTTGGTAGATGTGGTGACAAATGGGTTATGGAGGTTGTGGAAATAGGTTTCCCTTCGCCTGGAGACAAAGATGGAGATGACAATCCATGCTCTCGAATGTGGCAACCAGCACGACAGGAGGGACTGCAGCAGTTTCTGTCTGTGTCCGCACGTGGAAGGAAACCATTTTCTACATCAAAAAGTTGTATCTTATGGGATATAACACTGTCCAGTCTTAGGAGAGACAACAGATGCATCAGACGAACATACTGCTTCCATCTTCATTGTCAAAGAATAAGGTAACTAAGAAACCAGTATGTAGCAGGCAGAAGGAAGAGCATCTTCAATGTTGCCTCATACATGGTGATGCCTTCCTCTGAATTGTCAGTTGACTGTACCCGGACTACATGGCGTTTTATCCCAGAAGACAGAATGCTTCATTCCCATTGCTGTGAGAACCTCAAATCCAACATAATTTGAATATCTTCTGTAAGCCAGTTAATGGCATTATAACCATGTGTGGGTCTTAGTCTCCTCCATGGTTTTGTGTTGGTAAATTATTCTGGGGTGTGGGGTGTTAGCTCCACACCAAATGCCCTCATCTGGAAGACCAAGGGCTACTCTTTTCCTGGCCCCTACCCTCCAGACCTGTCTGGCATGGATGGCCTTACCAGGAGCTTACTTTCTCACCAGCATATCTCTCCAGAACGCTGGGACATGTAAACCTTCTTTCCATGATGAAGCAGTAGTCCTTGAGAAGGGTTTTTATATCTACCAAGCTTAACGTTTCCAAGTTCCGTTTTCATCAGTGTGATTTATAATTATTAATTCACGGCTTCCTCGGAATGAATTATCCTGCATAAGGTACATCTGTTCTGTGAGAATCATGTCATGTTTCTTTAACTTTATTTCAGTTTATGTACCTGAACAATATGTTTACATGTACGTGAGATTTGAAGTTCTCACACTGGTGCAAGGATATTATCATCTGGAGTGTGACGCCGTGTAATCTGGTAAATGCTTACCAACGTTTCGGATGAACGTAGCTACGAAAGTCTCCAATTAATTTTCATATTGCATGAACATTTGTTCTTTGGTCCTAGACAGCCTGATTCTGGCCAGGGACTCAATTTAGAGGTTTCCTAATTTCTTATTAGGCCCAATGTGCAGAATAGATCACTGCAGGTCGCGGTGCAAGGGCAGAGGAGGCCTACCCCTCATACATTCACTCAATGTGTAACAATGCTTGGGCAGGGGATTACACTTTCAAAAGTCCATTACAATCTGAAGACAACACAGAGAAACACAGACCACGGCCACTTGTGTTTTACACCTAAAATACTGCATTATGCTCATCTAATATTATTTTCCCCTTAGACTGCTTGGCTATGGGATCGGCAGCTCTTATTCTTCCTTGTAAATATGATTTCTAGCATCTGTGCTCTTGTCACAGAAATCTGTCCTTTGATATTTTAGATGTATCTCCATTCTGAAGTGTTTGCATGGCCTGTGTTAGATTGCAGCCTGACAAGGACCTATATCTCAAATGAGATGTCATTCTACTTGTTATCTGAACTAAATATCACTTTTCAGAAGTGATTAAGGCAGGTGAATTGGTATAAATACAGTCCATTTTGTAGTCATCATATTCAGGCTTAATCAGTAAGTTTCAATGTATCACAGGTAAGTGTTGTGATACAAAATGAGGTTGTAAGTTAAAATGAAGATTTTGCTCCTAGCTGCAATATTTCTCATCAGCCTTAATTCAGGTATGCTATGTGCAAAGGACCAATTCATATAGCCAAGAAAGAGAACTTCACCTTTATACTTCCAAAAGACAAAAGAATTTAAGGGTGAATAAGTCTCATACTGCTGTCTTGCAATTGTAATGTGGTGTAATCCATAGCCTACTTCATATCACTGTCTCTGAAGGACAAACTTTAGGCATGTGCAAGTCTCAATCTTCCAAGACTAAATTGACAGAAAAAATTCTCTCCAAATGTCGATTTTTCAGTCTAATCTTTGATAATTTTCAGATACGTGCTTTTGCTTTGCACAGCAGCACAGAAAGTATCCGATCCATCAGAAGTTTGATGGCTGGCAACTTGGGCACCAACACATTCGTCAACGAAATTAGTCTCTCTCTCTCCGCACGGTGAAAGAGGACATGTGACTAAAGTTGGTTCAAAATGATTTATGAAATACTTCATTTATATCAAAAGGGAGAAGTAGGCAGGCTTTAGTACATGGGTTCAAAATCTTTTTTGAATCATGGACCACTTAAATGATTTTCTGCGGTGGACTACGAGAATACCAAACAAAATATTTTAAGAATTTTAAATGGAATGTATGTGAAATTTATTCAATAGTTACACCGTACAAATTTTGAAATTAAAAACTATAAATATGTTGTCATGCATACCATATGCTTATTTGTGCATTAACAAAAGCTTTGACCTAGATGGAGGGGACCACTTGAAATGTTTTCGCAGGCCACTAGTGGCCTGTGGAGCAAGAGTTCTTGAAACTCTGGTTTGGAACATTGTCACACAGTATCTGGTCACATAATTTATTATTAGAGTGAAAAAATGGATCTATTAGACATCAAATTCATTCTGGTCTCATAATTGAAAGTCATCCTTGGAAGTTTCTAAAATTTGCGTGCCCACATTTGGTTTTAAATAATATTTTTGTTAGTGTGGATACTATAGTAGAGCTAATAGATATAGTCATAATTAAGGATGGATACACAGGCACACAAACACATACACACATAGACAGCAAGGTGATCTCATAAGCCTCCGTTTATTAATTCTAAAGGGTTCTGGTGATGGTGGATGACACAGAATTACTGGGTAAATTTAAATTTCAACCATCTCAGCAAGGTTTCTGCTTTTTGCCAATAATTTGAAAATATTTCCTCATAAAATCTGCTGATGGTTGTAAGTTACTAAAATCCGATATAGCCTCGGTACAAAAGTTGTGCATTGAAAATTATACGAAATTGGAGATATTGAAAACAAATATGATTTCTTGTAAAACTATCAGTGTTCATTTTAATTACCTTTTGGGTGATCTATTAATAGGACAAAATGATTGTTTACAAGATATTTTGGTTTATATTTTATATAAAACTGCATTTTTTATCATCATTTTTACTACAGGCACTAAAGCTGTTAGGATTAATTCATTTCGTCACATAAAATCTGTCTTCTCTGGATAGTCTAGACGTTTTATAGTATAATACTTCAATTCGTTTTAAACTTCTGAGTACGTGTCCTCGGGAATAATCTTACCTTAATAAGCTGGAAAGCATACAAAGAAAGTTTGAAAATGTATACAGCAATCGATTCATTCAGCCTGACTCCTCTTGTAATTATAATCAATGCTGAATTAAGTAGTTACTATAGGATTCTGATGATGGTGTATAACACACTGATATATTGGGTTTCTGGACTTTATCCATCGTCCTGGTTTTTAAGATAACAAATAAAAACACGACGTTTCGGAAACTGGATCTGTTTCCGTCCTCAGGTGAAGGAAAAAGGAAACACCTATTCTGTTGGGTCCGTTAGAAAGAGCTAGCCTCAATCACTGGATTGAGTGATCAACTGGATCACAGTGATTGAGTGATTTCTAACGGACCCAACAGAATAGGTGTTTCCCTTTTCCTTCACCTGAGGACGGAAACAGATCCAGTTTCCGAAACGTCGTGTTTTTATTTGTTATCTTAAAAACCAGGACGATGGATAAAGTCCAGAAACCCAGTATATCAATGCTGAATTGTTTACAATTTGTGACGCTTTATTTCTTATTAGCGTTAGTCTCTGCGTATCCACTAAGCAAATTAGAGATTTTTCCACCTTTAACGTCACTAATGTATTGAGACTTAGCCCTTCAATAGGTGCATCATGGCTGCAAACATCAGCAGCAAATCTCTGGATATTTTCAATAAATAAAAATGTCACTTGGCAAAACATATTCCTTTCTTAATCCAACTGAGTCACATCATTATCATGTTACCTATTTTACTTTATTGCCTAGTATTAAATTTTAGCCTAGTTCTAGTTGTAGTCTTGTATGAATGTATAAGTGGTGGACCATCTCGGCTCTTGCACCGGGGCCTACAGTGGTCTATTGTGCTTAGTCTAGCTTTTTACAGGGTATACACAAAAGTATGCTGCGATTTCAAAAGTAAATAAAAAATTTATTGCTCACCTTACACGGGCATAACAAATCTCCAGCAACAGCATGACAGCAATCACGTCAACTGCCCAGGTCGTCCAAGATGTCAGAGTTTCTCGTGCGCTACCAGCAGTTCACTGCTTACGCTGCTTACTGCACGGCCGCGGGGGCCCCGGGCGCCGCGGCGCCAGTTTCAAAGATGGCGCTGTGGAGATAGAAAGCTTTCTGTGTCCTCTGTTTTGAGGTGTTCTGCTGCTCCAGATCAGTGATTACAGTGTAGCGTGTATTTCATGCACGGTTTCAAAAAGACGCACCAGAGCCCCGATGTGACTCTCCAAAAGTCAACGTTTTCTGTGCGGTGTCCCGCGAAAACGTGCACGGCCCATTTTTATTCACTGAAGCAAGTGTGACCGGCGACCCATTTTCGGACATGTTGGAAAGCTGGTTGTTACCCAAACTGGATGCCAATCATGACGATTACATTCTACAACTGGACTAAGTATGTATTTTCAGTGTTCGCCTGTTACAGACCACACACTGCTGGCAAGCAGTTAAATGAATTAATTTTTATTATTATTATCTACATCACTGTGCAGGCAATGAAGCATGTGCTGATTTCACATGCTCATTCCATCTATTCCATGTCTTCCTCGGTCTTAGTGTCCTTTTTTTATATTGTAGAACCTCTTTCATTGCGTTTTCATTTGTTATTATATCAAATCAGTTTATGAAGTTTTAATGGTGTTTATTCAGTTTATTCTGTACTGGTTGTATTTTAATTTATTTCCTAATATTGGTCTGGTGTAGTGCAGCCTTCAACTGATCTTTAGTATGGGTATTTCATCTCTACTAGTTGTATTCCATTATGTCTCTTGATGTAGTTGTCCAACATTCAGTTACATAGAACAGAAATTTCAAACCATGTTTGTTTCCTTCCTTTAGTCTATAGGATTCTCCTCATGGAATGAGATATCAGCACAAAGGTGTTATTATCAGTAATTATTTTAGTTCTAACTGGAAACCTTTTTTTCAGTGCCATAACCTTGAATGTTGTGGCAGCAGTAGTATTGTTACTTGCAGGTTTCTCCATATCAGGCAAGTAGAGGTGTAGGTGTTAGATCCTCCAGGCTGCTGAAAGTAGGCTTATAACCTCCCCCACTGGTAATGTCATGTACTTCACAGAAATGAAGTTAGCTACTTACTATATGTAATAGGTGTATTTACATAAAACAAATCATTGTCTGTATATTTAAAACCTATTCTCTCCCACAAAAAGAAAGCCTTCCTGCATTCCCTGGATTACAGAGAAGTTTTACAGCTAATAGAATTTAGGAGACTGTGTAGTGTAGTATGTGTGTTGCCTATTACCTCTGTCAACAGTAGGCTGCAGTGAATTAACATAATGAGTAAATGGGGTAGGGACTTGTTTCCTCGCCCCTTTCATCTATAGACCAGCTGTGTAGCCCACCGAGACTCATGTTTGGTAGGTTTCAGGAGCTCTTTTCTCCAGGAATAAAGCAGGTAGAAGATTGAATGTTACCACCCGTGCTGATGTTAAGAATACCTAGTGTATGTTGTCATGGCCCAGGGGTAACATTACACCTTTACGTTATTGCTTTGTTTCAGGCTGGTCTGGAGTCGGTCCTGGGGAACAGGACTGGGGGTACGTGACGGTACGTCCTGATGCTCACATGTTCTACTGGCTGTATTACCATGAGCGGACCACTGAGGAGCCTCTTGTGATTTGGCTGCAGGGCGGTCCTGGTGCATCCTCTACTGGCTATGGAAACTTTGAAGAAATTGGCATTGTGGACATGAACCTCAATGTTCGCATCCACTCTTGGGTAGGCAAGCTGCACTTTACCACATAACCTCACTTAAAAGAACTTGAGAAAATAGCAGAAACTAATGTAACCAGTCATCCCTCAAGTTATAAAACTAATTATCTGTAGCATTTCCCAACAATAAAAATTATATATTCCCATGTAAATGTGCCATTAGATTTTAGTCTACATTATATCATGCTGACAGGAGGGGGGGAGTGACACAGCTGTTCAACTTTTGCAAAATTTGTTATGGTCATTATGCCTTTAGAATACAGCCCAGCATTGAAGACATGGTAGAAGGGGCTAGTTATTAACTGCCCTCAACCAGTCTCATGGCAGTACAGCAATCATTATTATTGGTGTTTCACTGTCAGACATTCTTACACCAGATTATAAAGGGTTCTGACAATGGGTGTAGCACTCAGAATTACTGGGTATTCTAAAAACTAGAGAGCTTAATGTTTCAGAAACTGGATCTGTTTCAGTCCCCTGGTGAGGGAGGAGACACCTATCTTGTTGGGCCTCTTTGATAGAGCTAACTTCAATCACTGCCCAAACCATGTCAGCCAGATATCACTTCTGTGGAATGTAGAAACCAACATAACTCAAGCAGACATTACTTTAATTCATTTTTCAATCAGAGATGTCTCCATTTTAGTTATTAGGACTGAAATAAGTCTTATTTCCAATCAAAAACACTGAAATATACAACTGTTAGGAACTGTGTGGTATAGAAAAGCAGATTAGAATTAAATTGTCTTAGATGAAATAGCAATAATGATGCTTCCTAGGGCTGCTAGGAATAAACCCCCAATTTAATTACAAAGATCAAAGAATGTGTATCTGGTGTCCAAAACCTTAGAATTATTGGGTTTTTGGACTTTGTCCATTGCCCATATTCTGAAAAACTAGAGAACACAACATTTTGGAGACGTGATCTGTTTCCATCATCAGGTGAGGGGGGGGGGAGTTACCTACTCTATTGGGTTCCCTAAAAATATCTAATCTTAATCACTGGACAACTCATGTCTGAGTCTGACTCTTATGTTATGATTGATGATCACTTGGCCAGTCTGTCTTGGAATAAAGCACCCATCTTGGGCTTACGACCAGATTTTTATTACTGTCAGACAGTTTCAGGTTTGTTGATGTGGGGTGCTCTCAATGGGTGTGTAGCTGGGAAGCAGTTGTGGAGAGGCAACAAGGGGTGATCTTCCAATTTGGCTGTTGGGCGTGGGACTAACACTCCTCACTCTAAGAAACAAGCTCCTTATGAAAGATCATAAGAAGCCTTCAGCCTGGGCGAACTTCTTGGATAAACGACCTAAGCGAAAGAAAATGGATATGAGATTTGATACTTGGAAAGTTAGGAGTATGTATAGGACAGGTTTGCTCAGGGCAGTGGGGGAAAAAATCTCAAAATATAAGTTAGATTTAGTGGGAGTACAGGAGGTCAGTTGGGGTGGAGGTGGCAATGAATCAGCAGGCGAATATACATTTTTCTATGGAAAGGGGACTGAAAATCATGAATTAGGTAGAGGCTCTTTTGTACATAAGAGAATCATATCAGCAGTTAAGAGGGTAGAGTTCATTAGTGATAGGATGTCATACATAATTCAGGGAGATCGAAAAGTCACACACATCAAACTAAAAGTTGTTATAAATCGTATTGCATTTAATATAATTATCTCTCCTACTGCTAGATGGTACTGTAGGAGTACTAACAACGAGTAGAAATGCCATGTCATGTATTGATCATATGACGTCTATAGTATAGCTTTGTTTATTGCGTGACAAACATGTTGTTTTCCCAAGAACAACAAGTTTTCATTGTGGAACCATGGAATTGAAGAGTTTTATTGGGTTTTCTTCACTGACAAAGCATGGTTTCACTTTAGTGGCTGCATGAACAGTAAGAACAATAGGATTTTGCCATCTGAAAATCCACATGTGTTACATGAAAAGCCCTTGCACCATCATAAAATTGGAGTGTGGTATGCTATATCATGTCGAATAGTGGGCCCAATTTTCTTTGAAACAACAGTGAACAGTCCAGTGTACCAAGACATCATTACACAGTTTATTGCGCTTCTTGAAGTTGATGAACGTGAGTGTTAGTTGCAGCAAGACAGTGCCACATGTCACATATCTAATGAAACCATGCAGTTCCTGCGTGAGTTTTTCGGTGACCATCTCATTTCAAAAGGATTGTGGCCCCCGCATTTTCCCGATTTGTCACCCGCAGATTTTTTTTCTTTCGGGGTACCCCAAAGGAATTGTCTATAAAAACATACACTGGATGACCTCCAGAGAAACATTACAATGTCGATTGACATCATCAGTTTACAGGTGCTCCACAAAGTGGCCTCAAACATGGTAAAAAGAGCTCATGCATGCATTGCTGAACAGGGAAACCATTTCGAGCATACAAGTATGTTGCAAAGACATGATTTGATTTTGCATTTCTAAGATGTAAGGTTATAAACATTAATAGTAAGTGCTGTATGTCTTGTAGTTTGTGCATTAAACCAGCAAAATATAATTGCTTAGTGTGATGCGTGCGACTTCTCAATCTCCCTGTACTAGGAGGTCGGTGTGATATCATCATTCTGAATGTTCATGCCGCAGTAGAATATAAAACTGATGATATAAAGGGCAGGTTCTAGAAAAAACTAGATCATGTGTTTGATAAATTCACAAAGTTACATATGAAAATTTTGTTAGGAGATTTCAATGCAAAAGTAGATAAGGAAGACACTTCCAAACCAATGATTGGGAATGAGAGTTTGCACGAAATTGGTAATGATAAGGAGTTACAGTAGTAAACTTTGACACATCAAAAAATCTTACGGTCAGAAGTATGATCTTCCCACATTGTAACATTCATAAATGTACTTATACATCTCCTGATGGGAAGACACACAAATTGACCATATTTTGATACAAGGGTCACTCCAAAAGTAATACACAACATTTATTTTAAAAAATCAATTTTTATTCCAGACCTTTACTACTTATATAGTATGTTGATACTTCCTTAAGAACAAAATATCACTTCTCCACATAATCTCCATCCCTTTCCACTGCCTTACGCTATGTTTGAACTAGGGCCTGAATGCCAGCATGGCAAAACTCTGGACCAGAGCATCTGAGCCACCATAATGAGGGCATCCTCATCTTCAAATCTTGTTCCGCGAAGGGATTCCTTCATTTTACCAAAGAGATGGTAATCAGAAGGTGCCACATCAGCACTATAAGGAAGGTGTGGCAATGTTGTCCATCCACGTTTTGTGATCTTATCCTTTGTTTTCTGACTGACGTGTGGTCGGGCGTTGTCGTGCAACAGCAAAACATCCTGTTTCTGCTGATATGGTCAAGCACAACTCAGTTGAGCTTGAAGTTTCTGTAGGGTTGCCACATATGCGTCAGAATTAATGGTGGTTCCTTGTGGCATGATGTCCACAAGCAAAAGCCCTTCTGAATCAAAAAAGACTGTAACCATAACTTTTCCTGCCGAAGGCGCAGATTTGAATTTCTTTTTCTTGGGCAAATTTGCATGGTACCATTCCATTGATTGCCGCTTTATTTCTGGTTCGTCACAAAGTAAATACTAGTCTAAGTTCCCAATCATTGGAACAGAGTCAAAATACCCGATAAGAACGATATATGATACAGTACACACATTATTAAAATTTCATTTAAATACAATAAGATAAAACCATAAATTAAAAGTACCAGTAACATATGTATTCAACAATGACTTTAACATGAAGTATAAAAAAAANATGAGGATGGAAGCAGATTGTAAGTCTTAATGCCCATATAATAAACCCCTTTTTGATAGCTGGATAACCTTGCTTGTGGCAACTTCAAATTGTTTTTACTTCTAATGTTTATACTATGTAGATCAGTGTTGGTTTTAAATAACTCAATGTTATCTATTACAAAAATTAATAACGAGAATATGAGTTGAGAATAAAACGGTAAAATGTTCAAATCCTTAAATAAATTTCTACAAGAGTCTCTTTTCTTAGAATTAGTAATAATTCTAATTACCCTTTTTTGAAGCCTAAATATATCACCACTATGAGAAGAGGTTCCCCAAAAGATTATTCCATAAGTCATAATGCTATGAAAATACGCGAAATAAATCCTCTTTCACCACTTTCACCAGATAATCTGTGTGCCCACCTAACTAGTTTCATGGGTACCCTAAACTCTATCAGAATATTGTACAATACTTCCCCTTGACTGAATCATAGGCTTTCTTGAAGTGTATGAATAGCTGATGTACTGTCTCGCTGTACTCCCATTTTTTCTCCAGTATCTGATAAATGCAAAAATCTAATCATTAGTTGATCTGTTACATCAAAATGCACACCGATGATCCATAATAATTTCATCTATGTATGGGCTTAACCTTCAGAGAAGAATATTGAATAAAATTTTATATGAAGTTGATAGCAGTGATGTCCCACAATAATTAGTACAGAAGCAGGTATTCACTGAACACAAAAATATTAACTCTCGTTGTCCACATCTGAGGCAAATTCTGGACTCATGGAAATAATAATGTAACATAGATGGACACAGCGTTGCTAGGTGACTGACCAGTAAACACATATCACAGCAACAAATGTGCAACAGTAGGGCATCCATTGCTGGGCAATGCATGGGTGGACACATGGGAGCAGCGAACAATGAGAAGATTCATCAGGAAGACCTCACTCAAGTCAGTCCAGTAGTTGTTGTGTTAGTGTAATAACTAATTGTAGTTAAACATGAAAATTATCTAATAAATCAAGTTATCAGATCCGGAACTGATTATTTACTGTCGCGTTACCAAGATACACATGACAATATTTAAGTGTCTCACAATGACAAGGAAGCCAGTCAAGGCGCACACTGAAAATGAAATGAGATAAAAAAGACAATACAGTAAAATACGATAAAAATTAACAACATGAGAACAGTGTTCAGATGTATGAAAAAATACATAAAGAGTCTGCAGGAGAAAGAATTATTCCATAAGTAATGAGTCATTAAAAGAGTGATAAATACATTTAATGTAATACAAATTTTGTAGATGTCAGTGCTCCTGCAGATTACATGAGTACATGTCTGATGCAGTGACTTTGAGGAGATGGTGTACACAAACAGTAGAGCAGTTTATGATTAATTTAATAATGCAACACAAAAAAAAAACTTATGGTGTTATGAAATGACCCATTCACCTTTATTTGTTTTATACATATATATATACTATATATTGGTGTGTACTTAGAAGGGATAGGGACATGTAGTAGTAGGTATTAAGTGAATATTTCAAATTATTTGTTATACACATATTCGATCAAACACACTGTGTCTGCATACAACTAAGACCCACAGGATGTATGATGTGAGTCAGAGAGTGTCGGGAGCCAAGTCAGCAAGTCCAGGCCACGTTTATCTCCTGTACAGCAGGTTTAGTGACGCATGTAGCAGTGAGAGCAAAGTCCAACTCACTTGAAATTACAGAACAAAGATGGCCAGTTTTAAAGAGAGAAAACAAGACAGAGAATGATTATCCAATTGTAACTTCTGTTACAATGGGCCTTGGGGGAAACCGTTGTTATTTTTAGGGTTAGGAAGGAAGTGTGGGTCAGTTCTTTAGTAGACACAAGTGTTGTAAGATCAAAGCAAGACCCATCCTCTAGGGAGCCGACAACCCTAGGTGACATAGACGAGAGCTGGCTGACCACAGACCTCTACAATTGTCGAGTGGAGACATGGTGTCCATGTATTTTTCAGCATTTTGTAAGTGGAGATCTGTTTTGGTCACAGCCAGGCTTGATATCTTTTATAGACAGGAGAGGTAATTGCAATCCTACCAGATGGAGTGAGATCAGTTATGTCATTCTTTTGCTAATGTAAATAAATATTACTTTTTTTATTTGATTAGAAAAGAGAAAGGTCTTTCATTGATTTGGGAAGGGACTACTATAGGGATATATCCTCGAACAGGTACCCTATACCGCACACCTCCTGGCATCATAACAATGGTTTGTATGGTGATATAGATTCAGTTCATTCATTCATTCATTTATTTTTCGTTCCATGGATCCACAATACAAGTGAGATATAGGACATGTCCATACAGTGATTATTCTTAAAATTAATAGAGCAAGAACTAAGTACATAAATAAAAAAGTATAAAATACAAAAATTGAAACAAAACATGTAGAATCAAATAGATTCCAGTCATATAAGTTAATTTAATGAAACATTTAATGAAAATAGATTCAGTCTGTGGTCTTCTTGGTTATGACATGTTGACACCTAGTAGGTGAATACCAGCATCTTGCAGGAATATGCTACCCTGAAAATGAGGCTAATATGTTCTTCCAAAACACTGGTACCTCCAGAAGTCATAAGCCAGAAGAATACCAGAACCCAGCAGTGTTTTCATACATAGCATATTATGTTGAAATTTGTGTTTAAATTCAGAAGGTTAATGCTTTCTTTTGGCCACACTCATAAAAGGTTGCTCATAATACATACCAGTCTGGTTACTTTTACCTAACTTTTAGCAGAAAAGGCAGGATCAACATTTCAGCCTTGGAGAAAGAATCAACATTTCTCATTAGATGCCAGCTGGGTGTACAAAGTAGTATTTCTTGACATGGTGGCAAAGAGAAAAATTGAAGTGCTCCTATCAGGACTTAAACCTGTCTAATCTATTTATTGCTCATTTTCTTCCTGCAGGTGAAACATGTGAATGTCCTGTTCATTGATAACCCTGTGGGGACAGGCTTCAGCTACGTGGATACCAACTCTGCACTCACTAAGACAAATGCAGAGATAGCAAAAGACCTTGTCACATTCACTGGAGTGTTCCTGCAGGCACATCCTGAGTTCAAAAGTGTTCCACTCTACATTTTCTCTGAGTCATATGGTGGAAAGATGGCTGCAGAATATGCCCTTGAACTGGACAAGGTCATTCTTCTGCATTACATTTGTGAAACATCTTGGCATTTTACCATGTGATGCTTACTCATTCAGAGCATAGGCTCAATATACTGAAAGTGCAACTTCAAAATTATGTAGGTTGTTAAAAGAATTCATTATTATACTTCTAGTATGTCATATCTAAAGAGGATGGCATGAAATATGCAGGTTCCTATTGATAGTAATTCATCAATTTTCAATGAATGTACTTACTTACTCACGGAGCTGAGCCCTTCTGGAGGAGCCACCAACTCTGCAGCTACTCAAGAAATTTCCAGCATTTTATTGAACCCAAAGGTTCATTACTGTGTTCACAAGAGCCCTCCACTGGTCCCTGTCCTGAGCCAGATCATTTCAATCCATTCCATCCCATCCTATCTCTCTAAAATCCATCTTAATATTGTCCACCCATCTACATCTTGGTCTTCCCAGTGGCCTCTTTCCTTCTGGCTTTCCCACCAATATCCTATATGCACTCCTCATCTCCCTTGTTCGTGCTACATTCCCTGCCCACCTCATCCTCCTTGAATTTTCAATGAAAGGATAAGATATTCCAAATATATTGATTTTGTCTGTTCCTGTTAACATAAATTTGACAATATGGCATATAAATGAAATGTGTTCAGAATCTTTATATGAATGTATGAGGGGTAGGCCTTCTTGGCCCTTGCACCGCAACCTACAGTCAAATCCCTATATACGTTTTCTCTTACTGTAATTATTAGTAACCTTATGTGAAATAACAACATTAAGAATTTAGTAATATAATTCAATAATCAGCCAATAAGAACAATTAAATATTGTTACATGTACACCCATTGGTAGGCAACGAGTGATAAACAAGTTACCGTGAAGACAAACTCGTGATAAACAGTCGGTTGCTAGGTTGCTCAACAACAGAGGAGGCTGTGGTTTCTGTGTTGTCCATTCCACACAGCAGTGGAAACAGTGGGGTTATGCAGCCTGTTGTCAGGCAACATCTCTGTAAACACGATATGCGCATGCAACAGTAGAGCAAGCTGGCGCAGGAGCGGTGATGTCACAGAGGAACAGTAAGTGGCCGTCATGTGACATGTGTTTCCTGTGTGTCTGTCAGCTTCCGTTTGTGCGATAATGTCAGCAACAGTAGGTAAGGGTCACGTGATATGTGTTTACAGTTCAATGTCGGTCCCTCAACTGTATAAATGAGCAGAGTCCCTAAGCTGGCAGTTATGAGATAAATAGTAGTGGTGGAAGCACGCGAGTGAGAAAATTGGAACTAGTAAGTGACAGAGTTCTAAGCTCTGAGTTCTCAGTAGGAGACAGCCACAGGAAGTTCGTATTTGAAGAAGAGTTAATTTGTGAATGGAAGACTTTATGTGTGCTATAGTGCAGTGGGATTGTGAGTGTGTAATTTAGTGAGACTGTTATAGTTACTGCATTTTAATTGTGGTACTGGAGAGAGGACCAGTGTGTGTATAAATCAGTGATAGCGCTGTATTTAAATGTAATTAGGAGAGAGTGCATAACCAAAGTGCTAATAAATCCAATCATTATGCATACCACCCCACATGTGACAATATTAATGTGAGGGTGTAATATGAACATAAAAATGATTATTATTAATGACTATAATACCAACAGCACAAACAAATAAAGGAATGTGTTAGGTTTTATAAGCATTAGAACATTTACAATTCTTAGTAAAATAGTATCAGGAAAATATCATGTAAATAACTGAATGGTTAGAGAACGGAGGAGGTACTAGCACCTTGGATGATATTAGGAAATACACGTCACAATAAGGCTTCCATTTTGAATGAATGGATAACAAATGGTCCACAAAGAAAGTGTTGTGGTATAAACTTCAACAAATGGGAAATATGAGGAGATCCAAAAGATGGACTAGGTGCTGGTAGCCTTACTCAATTTCCTAAAGAATAATAATAATTAACTGTTATTTAAATGAAATTTGCCCTGCCTGAATATACAAAGTTTGGAACAAACTATTAATCATAGCTCATTTTGTATACTATTGACATGCAAGTAAATTTGGTATTGACATCGAAAGTATTGTCACATGATAGAGACTACACAGGTTGTGGATTGGTAATTGGATTTATTAGATGCTGAATCATTTGCTTTACAAATAATTATGCAATTTACAAACATGCACTACCTTTTTGTAATCTCATATATCACTCTTTGTTGCTGGCCTGTTGTCACAGACATGTTCCTAGGCTTCTGGCTCTGATAATAAGGATTCTTCTGAAGGCTCACAAGCTCACTGTATATCACCTGGTTGTGGACTGATGGGAGAAAATTACCTCTAACAGTTCCTCAAATACTGGGTGCACAAGTGTCCCTCAGTGATTAGCGCTTAACAGCACCTGGCAATAAATGCCTCTTCAGTGCTTCACCACTTCCAAGATTCTGAATTTAGGCATCATGTCACAGTATTTATGAAAGTTCTCTTCCACTTGAAGAAAACTGGGATTTCATTTATATGCCAAGAGAAGTATATTAATGATTTAGACATGATAGTCAAAGTCACATCAAGTGTAAGTGATCAAATGAAATGACGATCTGAATATTTTCTTAGTTTAATCTTTTTATTAACCAACATTCATGGTTGTTTGAAGCACTAACAAATCAATAGTATGCAAGACTTTCTTTGTTACTAACAAGGAAAGTAAGATTTTTGTTACCAAATTCTGCAGTAAAACTCTAATAAAATATTCCATTTCAGGCAATCAGTCAAGGGAATATTGAAGTACCGCTGAAAGGAGTTGCTCTTGGAGATTCTTGGGTGTCTCCCATTGACTCTGTTCTCACATGGGCACCATTTCTCCTGCAATTGGTATGTGTGCAGACATTGAAATTTCAGTGTGTCACTCAATTTTGTTTAGAGGCTTAATTTGAATTGTCGTATAAGTTGTCTTCTCTTTGAACTAAATCACATTCTAGACTATGCATCTGTACAATCAGTTATTTTCATTCTTCAATTGGATTAAAAAAGAGACAAATATTTTGTCCCCCACTCCCTTTACAGACTATCATTTACATAGTAATATCACTAATTTCAGTCATGACAATTCTCATAGCAAATGTGTAAAAATAAAGCGTATAAAAACTGACTAATTACCTGGCTTCCTAGCTGACTGAATGACTTATCAAGTAACTGACACACTGAATTACTTGTAACTGAATCTGAAAGTTTATCACCAATAATACTAAGACCCATCATTCATGTAGTCCTAAGCTATTTCAGTTCAAGTTTTCTTCTCAAAATCCATTTGCATAATATCCACCCGAGTATTTTCTAGTCTTGTGCTTCCTAAGACACTTCCCTGTCAGAATGCTGCATATGCACTATTTCAGATTTCCCAGTCAATTCATCCTCGATTTGCCACCCCAGTAAAGTAGTGTTAAGTGATTTCCACACTGACATTCTTCAGTTGGCCCTTGGGTCCAAGTACTTTCTTGAACATTTTGAAATACCAGGAGCCCAAGTTTTAATTTTTCTCTCAAAGTAAGAGGCCATGTTTCATATGTATACAAAATATGTGCTATATTATTGTTTTTACAAATATTATTCTTTAATGTTTTGGCAATTAGAGAAGGGATTAATTATTTATGAACTAAATATAAATGCAGCAATTTCTGAACATATTCTTCAGTTAATTTCATAATAAGACTAAATTTTGTCTGTTATTGTTTTTCTTAGGCATTTAAATTTTGTTATATTTTTTAATGGTTTATTGCCTGTTATACCATGAATTTGTCATAAATTTTTTATATGTTCATATATGTAGTTTTAAGCATATTTACTTTACTTTATTTGTTCATTTTTAAGGAAAACCTTCAGTATTCCATATGTCAATTTTTAATGTTCACAAGAATAAAACTCTAGTTCAGAGGTTCCAAAACTTTTATATGTTCCGCCAAGATTAAAACAGTTTGTAAATTTCATGCCCCTCTTCCAAAACAAGTGCAAACAGATCTGATATAAAATTTAGCTATGAGTATATATTTTTTATAATTTACTGTGTTTTATTCAGTGCATTTAATTTAAAGGACTGAAATAAAATATACACTTCATGCCCAGATAAGTGAGCTGGATGTGGTTGACTTTTTTAATGTAACTTATCATACTGAGGTTGGAGTTTTGGATTGGCCGCTCTAAGGTCATTTTTCAGGTTCGTCATAGAATGATATTTTGTTTTGAGGGCCACCACAGCTGAAAAGGCAGTCTTGTAAAGATAGGATGTTGCAGAAAGCAGAAGGATGTTCTGAGTTTTCCTGCTGAGCTGAGGGAACTCCCCTCCAATGTTTATATATATATTTTTTATTGCCAGTTGTTTGGGACTAAGTCCCTTGTACTGCAGCCACTTCTGGCCTATTGTATCAGCCCCAGATGATAGGGGGGGGTGATTGTGGAGCAATTTGTGGAATGAAGATTGGCAGGGGAAACTGAAGTACTTGGAGAAAACCTGCCCCAGCGCCACTTTGTCCACCACAAATCCCACTTGACCAGACCCGGGATCGAACCTGGGCTGCTGCGGTGGGAAGCCAGCAACTAACCACTTGAGCTATGGCCTGGCCTCAATGTCTATGTATAACTTCCTAGGAAACTTGACTTTTAAAGAAGTATCAGATATAACATCAATACAGTGTTCTTCTTCTTCAAGGGAAAAGTAGCAATTTTGGGGTGAATCAGCATGGGCTGGATCTGTGATCCATTTGTATTTATTACTCACTACTTGAAAATGCTTAGAAAACCTGACCTACAGATTAACCAGCCAATCTTCGATAAATTCCAGTGTCACTTACTTCCACACTGTTTTCCTCCACAAAATTCTTAAAACGAGAAAACATGTTCAAATTTTTCCAATCTATTATTCTAACCCAGAAGCCCATCTTCTCAATAAATGTCTTCACTTTTTCAGTCACTACAATAATGTTAGTATAATTCTCTTGCATACTTGGTTTCAATGTACTGAACTTCTGAAATATATAATTTAAATAACTAACTTAGAAACTAAATGTTCATTGTGAAAATGTTCAGCATGTACTACATTTTATTCTCCTAAAAACAGTGCTACTCCTCGCAAGTTGTAAATATGCCACGACACTTCCACCTGACAGCCAGCAAGAATTACTTTAAAATGAGAGTGACTGATTCTGTGCCACCATTTCCTCGCATAATTCTGCAAAAAGTCTGCTTTTCAATGCATGAATCTTTATGTAGAGTACAGTTTTGATCACTGTATCCATCACTTCACTCAGTTTTGGGCATGATTCCTTCATAGGCAGTGATTCACAATGTATCACACAGTGTGGCCTTGTAGCTTCTGGGGCTGATCATTTAATTAAGGACTGCAGTCCCTCTTTATTTCTTGCCATTAGCCAAGCTGCATCCATGCATACTCCATGACATTTTGCCCATTTTATGCTTTTTTCTTTCATTAAATGATCAACAATTTGGAGAGTTCTTTTACTGTTGCTCTTCTTTTTATAGGTTTCCATAAAAGCACATCTTTACTATTTATTGTCATCATCAACATATCACATGTAAACTATCAAGTGACCAACACTGCTACAGTCGTCAATCTCTACTGAAAAAGATTGTTTCTAAACTTCTCAATCACCTGTTCTTCTGTCTTGTGATACATGAGCAATCTGTCAAGAGACCATAGTATCTGATAGTGATGTATTACAAAGCTACTGAGCATGTTTACTTATGTGATTTCAATTTTGATATTCACCTATGACAATTATTTGCTGTAGGTTTGTTGTCTGGTTTTCTTGTTGTACCCATTAAAAATGTATGCATTATTCCATGGTTCACGAAACGCCACTTAGAAGTGCTCGATACTAATTTAATGACTACACATAGCAAATATTATGGTATGTACATTCTATGTCTGTACATTATGGAACTAAGATGTTTATATGTTAACACATATTCTATCACTGAAGTATTTACACATCATGTCACTGAAGAATATCTACAGTGCAAGTGCATTTATTCACTAACTTACACTACACTAACAATGAATATGATGGTTTCGCAAGGTTTGTGACAACAGTTGTATTGTTCAGAACTCAGCTTTCTGGCCCTAGAGGGTGAAAATGATCAACTTGAGGCGTTGAACAGCTCTCAGGTACCCGTTAATATCAGTGCAGTGAGTTGGTTTAATGGCCAGTTTGCTAACATTCCTCACAGAGCTGCAAATCTGAGTCCCTAACAGCATGTAGGCTTATATTGGCATTTACTTCCTAAAATCGCCGATGCCCAGCAAGTTTGAAATCTGTACTATTGTATGGCAACTAAACTACCCCAACCAAATAAAGGATTTTAAAAACCTTTATCCATATTTCTTTTAAAATAGTTTTTACACAAACAATGTGCCCCCCCCCCACAGTAAACCACTTGTGCCCATCAAGGGGGCACACCCCACACTTTGGGAATATCTGCATTAGTTCCTTCACCAACCCATTAAAGATAAATTCACCTTCTCATATGTATCACTTTTTCAGGGATTTGTAGACACTGAAGGATACAGAACTATTGACACCTATGCTCAGCAAACTAAGGCTGCTCTTGATGCTGGAAATTATGAATTGGCAACTGACCTCTGGAGCACAACTGAAATGATCATCCTAAGTGTGACAAGTGGCATTGACTTCTACAATGTTCTGTTTCCTGTCCCTGGCAAATCGAGGTCTCAACCAATTACTTCACGGAAAGGTAAATATATGACTTACCTTCAGCCTGGTTTGAACTTTGATTCTTTCGGTAGTAGAGGTTTCCTTCATGTTAGTCAGAGAAGGAGGACTCCTTAGACAGGGTATCTATACCGTCACAAGATAATACAGAAAGAGTGGAGGCTCAAAATCAGCATTTAGGCAATCCATGACAGTATGTGGCTTAAATCATATGATTATTAGTATCTGAAAAATTAATGATGGGAACATGGCATCTGTTTTATTATTGCTGCTAATGATCCTTTGTTGAAATGCATTTATTTTTACATCTAAAAAGATGAGAGAAGTATTATTTCATGCAAGATACAACTTACATAATGTAACAGACAGAGGAGATTGAATTCAGGCAATGCTTGCCACCATTCAGTCTAGAACCTTTTTTCTTCTCGTCTGCTCTCTAAAAACATAAAAATTAGAATATACAAAAATATAATTTTGCTTCTGGTTCTGTATGGGTGTGGAAGTTGGTCCCTGACATTAAGGGAGGAACATAGACTGAGGGTGTTTGAGAACGGGTGATCAAGTCAAGAAGGATGAGATTGGTATGGCAAGTAGCATGAATGAGGAGAAGAGGAATGCATATAGGATATTGGTGGGAAAGCCAGAGGGAAAGAGACCACTAGGAAGACCAAGATGTATGTGGACAGACAATATTGAAATGGATCTTAGAGAGATAGGATGGGATGGTGTGGACTGGATTGATGTGGCTTAGGACAGGGACCATTGGAGGACCCTTGTGAACACAGTAATGAACCTTCAGGTTCCATACAATGCTGGGTATTTCTTGAGTAGCTGCATAATTGGCAGTTTCTCAAGAAGGGCTCAGCTCCATGAGTGACAGTAATTTACTGGTCATCTATACCAGATACATGTAAAAATTTGTTAATTGTTTGTTTATCCATTTAGAATTATTTAAATGTTTACCCTTCTGTCTTTTTGTCCTTGTTTTTGTTCATCATCTGCTCCTTTTCCTCTCAGCTACTGTCTTCATTCCAGTAGTGGGCATTGTATTGTATTGTATTGTATTTTCATCCGTTTTGCTACATAGTAACATTTGGACACGTCATTCAGTAATATAAGTTAACTCTTTGACTGGCGCGAAGGGTATTTAAATCCCACCCCTGTCCCTGGCAGGCCCTTTAAACCTTATGTCGCTAAAATGCATGTAGTTACTTTTTCCTAAACAACTTCAACAAAAATTGGTTTTTAAAGATGAAATTTTCAGGAACTAATTAAAATACAATATTTTATGCAATAAATGCCTTTCCATACCTCTTTATTAGTTTTTCTTCGTGTGATAAACATTGAAACATGAAAGTTTGCAGAGAGCCACACCACAGCCTGCACACATGATACTTGTTTCTTTTCTAATCT